CTGCTGCTGCTGCTGTTGCTGCTCCTGCTGCTGCTGCTGAGGCTTCTCTGTGTGTTTTTGTGTGTAGTGTGTAAAAACAAAATAAATTAAAAAACTAAAATAAATAAAATAAAATAAAATAAAATAAAATAAAAATAAAATAAAATAAAATAAAATAAAATAAAATAAAAAAGTTTTTGTTTGTGTGCATGCAGGCCAAAGAAAAGACAAATTAGGAGAGCTGCTGGAGGCGGATGAATCGCAGCAGGAGGAGGAGCAGCAGCAGCAGCAGCTAGCAGCAGCAGCAAAAGAAGTTTGGCGGTTTGCTGCTGCACACCTAAACCCAGAGCAGCTGCATGCGCTGCAGCACGCAGCAGAAAGCCCCAACGCAGCGCATGCACAGACGCAGCTGCAGCGGAACCTGCTGCTGCAGCAGGCAGTGAAGCAGCTGCGGCAAGCAGAGCTCAAGCGTGTGCAGCAGCAGCAGCAGCAGCAGCAGCAGCAGCAGCCGGAAGCAGCAGCAGCAGCAGAAGATCCTGTGCTGCAGCAGCAGCTGCTACTGCAGCACAGCCCGCTGCTGCAGATGGTCCGAAACGCATGCAGCACCTAAACTTTCATCAGCAGCACCGTCTGCTGCAGCAGGTGCTGCTGCAGCAGCAGCTCTTGCAGCAGCAGGTGCTGCTGCAGCAGCAGCTTCTGCTGCAGCAGCTCTTGCTGCAGCAGCTCTTGCTGCAGCAGCTCTTGCTGCAGCAACTCTTGCTGCAGCGGTTCTTCCTGCGGCAGGTCACCAGGTTCTGTTGCTGCAGGTGTTGCTGCAGCAGGTTCTGCTGCTGCAGGTGTTGCTGCAGCAGGTGTTACTGCAGCAGCAAGAGCTGCAGCAGGTGTTGCTGCAGCAGCACGCGCGCAGTTTGAATGTCTCAGCGGAAGAAACTCGATGAAACATTTTGTTTTTGTTTTTTTTGTTTTTGTTTTTATTTCTGTTTTTGTTTTTTTTTTTTAAAATGTTTATTATATCCTCGTGCTGCTGTATTTATGTTGCACCCCCAGAAACCGACAGATACTAACCAGCAGCAGCAGCAGCAGCAGCAGCAGCAGCAGCAGCAGCAGCAACAGCGGCAGCACAGCAGCAGCAGCTGTACACCAGCAGCAGCAGCAGCAGCAGCTGTACAGCAGCAGCAGCAGCAGCAGCTGTACACCAGCAGCAGCAGCAGCAGCAGCAGCAGCAGCTGTACAGCAGCAGCAGCAGGACCAGTATCCTAGCATTGCAGATGTAATTAAATAAAATAAATGTATTCATATATATAAACTAAAAAAATATTTATATATTATAAAATAAATAATATACTAATATATACAAATAAAATATTTATATATACTGACACTAAAATATATAAATAAAATACTAACAAAACACTAATAAAGTATTAATAAAATATTTTTATTAATATATACTAATAAAATATTTATATAAAATATATAAATATATATATATATATATATACATA